CCCGGCCATCCCTGTCTCAATCAGCAATGCGACGGGCTGCGAAAACAAAACGAAAAAAGGCGACGTCCCTACGAATGCACGCCCTGTACAAGGAACCTCCGATGACCACAAAATCGGGTACGTACAAAATTGAAAGAACTTCATTCGCATCACGATTATCAAACAAAGACAAGCATGGAGACATTTCATTGCAATCGTCTTATACAAAACACAAAAACCTGCCATGGCTCGTTTGTTTCTGTCTGTGCCAGACCGAAGAGAGAGAGAGAGAGAGAGAGAGAGAGAGAGAGAGAGAGAGAGAGAGAGAGAGAGAGAGAGAGAGAGAGATCCCAGACCGTGACAACAGTCGGAGACTGATGAATTGAGGGGCAACACGCCTGTAAAAAGGAAAGTGCTTTCTGCACTGCTGGAATTCAAATTCGATTCATTGCATTGCAATCGTCTTATAAAAAAATTGAAAGAACTTCATTCTTATCACGATTATCAAACAAAGACAAGCATGGAGACATTTCATTGCAATCATCTTATACAAAACACAAAAACCTGCCATAGCTCGTTTGTTTCTGTCCGTGCCAGACCGAAGAGAGAGAGAGAGAGAGAGAGAGAGAGAGAGAGAGAGAGAGAGAGAGAGAGAGAGATCAGACCATAACAACAGTTAGAGACGGAAGAATTGAGGGGCAATACTTTAACAAAAAGGAAAGTGCTTTCTGCACTATCGAAATTCAAATTAAATTCATTCAATGATGGGATTACCCGTCTCGTACCACGTCAGAGTAAACACACACAAAGCCGGCCGACTCATGCACTCAACCGGCGTAATACAACACTACAAAGACCACCAATGACAGCAAGCGATGAGGACACCTTGCCGACGAAGCCGACTACAACGGGAAGCCTCCAACTATCCACCGACTACAAAATTCCAGGGAGCAAGTGCTACACAACACAATGCCAACGAAGTTTATCGCTCGCAAATAGCCTTTGCTATTTCCATCAACGCCTGGCACATGAGTTTGCTGACTTCATCGGACGCGGTGTAGTGCGTCTTCTGCACCTGCACTTCAACTTCTAATGCCTCATGTTGTCGTAGCTGAATGCTGCATTGCCGCTTGCTGGCACTCTCCATCGTGGCCGCCATCAACGCACGGTGCTTGTTCATGCACTACATCGTTGCTTTGAACGTCTGCTGCCGCGTGCTCTTCCTCTTTCCGAAACCATGGGGGCTGCCCGACGTCTGGGAGGAACCACAAGTCAATCCCTCGTTCTCATTCCCCCCCCCCCGCACAGGCGTCGGCATCACCAACTGCTTCAGGATCAGCAGTTGTCGTCGACGGCAAACGCACACCGCCTCGGGCACCAGTGTCGGCAACGTTTTTTGGGTTGATGGTTTTGTGAAAACGTTGGACCCTTCAATCTCGACAAAACGGCGTGGTCCATGTTGAAATTGAAGTTGTGTGTCGCCCTCTCCTTGCCGTTCAACTGGAAGAAGTCGATTCCCCTAGACGGCGATTGAAAATGATGAACTTTTTTGAATTGCTGCATGAGGTTGACCCACTTCTTCCCGCATTTCTCCGGCTTCTTGTCGACACCCACATTCTTCAATCTTCTGGCGACGTCATTCCATTTCCACTCCCTCGGCTTCATCCGGGCATATGCATGCCCCATCCCCTGCAAGTGCACATCCTGATCGCGTTTCGCCCGTATGAGCGCGATGATATGTTCGACACTCCAAAAGTTTCGCTTCTCCTCTACGTCGCCGTCGCCTTCTTCATCGTTCGCCTTTGCTTAGGCTTTCTTCGGCCGCCCACAACCGTTCCCACTCGTCGCCTTCGTCTTGCCGCGCTTCCCCCTCCCGTCGCTGTTCTGCGATGGCGAGGCGTAACCGCCGTTCCCGTCTCCCGCCTCTCCTGTGTCGTCGTGGTCATCGTCTTCGGACGGAAGCCCCGCATGTGGCTCCTCAACTTCTTCCGCCTGCCTGTCCATCCTCAGCCGCTCCACCCCTCCGCTCGCCCCTCCCTGATCTTCCGTCGCTCCTCCGCCCACACTAACCTCCCGTCGTGATCGTCAACGACGTCGTCCAAGTACCCCCCCCCCTCCTCGACAATGCCACGTCGACGTCCCAGGTTGGACGCAGCAGACACCGGAGCCGGGGACTGCATAAACGACGGACGACCTTGCGTGCTCGCTCGTCCCTGCCACTTCTGCGCGCCTGCGGATTTTGATGATTGGTCCACAGCGGTTAACTGCCCGCCGTCGTCGCCGACATGGGGATTGACTATCACTGTGCGCGACTGGCTTCCACACCTCCCTCTCGACTGACCGGAAGACAGGTTCGATCCGCCATGCCCTTCTTCCCCGTCGAGACCAGGCGCCAGCAGTTCAGTGAAGAACTGGCCGTGCACGCCGCCACTGCCGCCGCACAGCTCCGTCCAAGACCATTCCTGCGTAGAACCACTACCCAATGGAACAGTGTGTGCCCGTCCCTCCCTCTCCTGCTCATCAGATGAGTCAGGGAGGGGTTGCAAATGCGGCGGCAGTGATGAATTACCGACCCCCAACGACAACCTGCAAGCTGGAGAAGAACTCCCAACGGCACGCCTGCTCACAACCTGCTCCCCTCCTCCCCTGGGGGATCCCTGTTCACTATCCGTCCTGACCGCCTTCATCGGCGAAGTTCGTCTGCGTCGACGCCGCGGCGCGTTCCCGACGAAACATACGTGCAACACTACGACGACGACCAGTAGGAAGACGGCGAGAAGCAGCAGCGGGAGCTTGCGAAAGATGTCAGCCATGCGACGGACGACGGCAACGGCACTAGACGGAAGAGAACACGGCCGACAACGTAAGTGCGACGTCCTGCACACGGCGACACGCGCTTGGCGACAAACGGAAGTCGTCGTCTTGTGGACGCGCTGTGCCGCCTCAAGTATTCGCATTTGCGGACCGTTGGCCGGTTTCCCGCCACGGCTGAAGCCCAACCCCAAGTTGCAACGCGGTGTGCACCTTGGGGATGCTACCGGCCCGCTAACGGTTACCGTTGGCGTGGACATCGGGCCTCTTGAACGTTGGCGACCCAACATGTCCGTGCGCAAGTCGCCCGGACCACCGATGGACCAGACGCCGCCGACAAAAGAAGTCGACTGAGGTGCCGTCGAAGAGTTCCCGATGGGGGAGCTCCGAGGATCCTACCGGAGGTTCCTTGGGGAAAATTGAAAATTGCCTGTGCCCCGAGGAATCCCCGAGGAATCCCCGAGGAAATGCTTTCACTTTTTTTTTTTTTTCCTTTCCCCGAGGACAAGTGGAACGACAATTTCCTTGGGGGATTTCAGCGAAACAAAAAAAGCCACCAAATACCGAAAAGATGGCAGTTATTTACAATTTGATAGAAATGCTGTTGTTTTAATCAATAATGGTTTGCCTATTGATACGAGAATTTTAGGTTGTGCGACACATGAACTACAGCATCCCCTGCTTACGCGGTTTCATAGGGCGACTGGCCACTCAGGTGATGCTCGGTCCCTCTGCTTCAGGCTGTCCCCTGGCCAGTGTTCCCCACTGGGGGTTCCCGGAAGGCAATAAAGGCCACCCTGGGCTGAAAAGGCCACCCGGTGTCAGATTAGACGCAAGATTGAATTTACCTGGGCTGGTTAGCCCGATGATAATTTATTTATTTTATTTATTTTTTATTATCAGATATTAAACTGATCAGAACAGATACTACACTTGATCTTAGCCAAAAGGCCCGATGATAATACCTCAAGGCCATGGCCCTGTTCAAAAATAAATAAATGATTAAAAAAAAGAAAAAAAGAAAAAAAATCGCCTTTGGAATTTTAGAGGGGTGTCGCCATCTTCCCACATGGTTTTGGGGGTATTTTACTACGATTTTAGCATATACGAGAGGTTTCAGCCTTTCAGGGGTACAAATTTTTCAGGTCCTTAAAAGAAAATACAGGTACGAAATTAAACGAAAAGGAAGAATAGAAGACGGGAAAAAAAATTCAGGACCGTATATTGCGTGCTGATCTTTCTTGCGGAAAACGAAAATATATTCCCGGCGGTGAATTCCATTTACTCTTCGTGCCGGGCGCTCGAGCACAAGCGAGTACAAAGGCTAAGTGTCTGTCCGTTAAAAAGGCGTTGAGAGACAGTAGCCCCATGAGATCGAGAACCAGCGAGCGCAAACACAGAAAAAGGCTCATACCAACTGGTGGGAAGAGCAAAGCATACACTCCAAGGGAACCAACAACTGGCGCTACGCACAGACGCACTCCAATCATGACAGTTTGTGGGGGGACACGCACTCCGATTTCAAGAAATTTACAATATGCAGGAATTCATTGGAAAAGACGATTCTTCTTTATGAAAAGAGATCAGATTCACGCTAATATCGCACTTCGTGCCTCCACGGTCGAAATTCATTGGGTGTCGACTCGCACTCTGAAGATGTGCGTCACACACGAACACATGGAGCAAGAGAAAGAGCAAGCCAGCAAGCGAACAGAAGTGAAGACAGACACAGAGAGAGAGAGAGAGAGAGAGAGAGAGAGAGAGAGAGAGAGAGAGAGAGAGAGAGAGAGAGAGAGCACTAAATCCTAAGCAGTATGCCTTGTTGTTCGTTACGGCCGTCTATTTCATCTTTACGCAAGGCACCGGAAGTCCTAGATGCCAGCGTATTCTTTTCCAGGTTTAAAAATTAAATGACGTGGAACTCGCTCGCCTGCCAGATATTAAATACGTACTCTATATATAATTATAATGATCTTTGAGTGACCAGTTCCACAACTGGCTAGGCTTCCTATTAAGCTCCATCAGCAAAGTGCTGTTGTACACACACACGTCCGATCGCCTGCGTCGGTGATGTCGCCAGTTCTTAGCTGACCACGCTCAGTGACGCGCCCCGGACAATACAATGCAGCTGCGGACCGATAGATTAATCCACTCATCTCCAAGSTGAGCCCCTYCCGGTCGCTCATTCKRCTTCTCTCYAAGTAGCTTGCTGATGTCGAACGACCGCCCCCCCCGGTTGTTGACGCCTGGTTAAATCAGCTTAGGCCATGCTCACATTTTCTGAACTGGATCTCGCTGCATTTACCGCCAGATGCTCCAGAAACGCTTTTATACGAGTATGCCCTTAGCACTTCTTCCAGAGCAGAGTATAACCCGGACTGGTGACGGTGATCGAGCCCTTGTTGTTTAGGACGACCAAGGCCTTGTTGTTCTTATTCGGCCTGGATGGAGGCAGTACTCTTGCCTCGAAATTGACATTGAACGTCACCGACTGACTGCCACACGGTGCATAGACAGATGTTGCGAAGCTGTCCGAGAACTCAAAGTTGCCTTCGACGGGAGGAGGCAAGCTGCGCGAGGATCTGCCTGTCCCTGGGATACTCGAGATGAAGTACGCGGCTGTCAGTGCACCCGTGACGCCTCCCTCGAACTGGGCGGACCCTCGAAATGTCGCAGTCCCTAGAGTAAACGTGAACCCAGCAGGATAGCTCAGGTCGACGGCCACTTGGCAGGTTTTCCGCAGGTCAGCTTTGCGTCCTGGGGTGAACACCGTGAACTTCGGGAAAGCAAAACCGGAAATTCCGTCGTCGGAGACTATGCCCTCTGCACTTCCAGGCGGACAGCCAGTGCCACCATAGGTGAAGCCCTCGATCTTTACCGTACCAGGTGCCGGACTTTGAGCAAGTCCAGGAACGGCAAAAGCTGGAGAAGCCCCAGCAGCAGCACGACCACCATCGCCGCCATCGTAGACACCGACTCGAAAACCGTGTGCCTGATCCTCTTCGTCCACGCCTTTCGCCTCACCTTGCTCTTGTCTCCGCGCGCCCAGCGACAGATGAGCTCTTCCGGCGATGGCAGCAGATAACGCCCACCCCAATTCGCCGCTCCCGGAGCTGTTCGCCTGGAGTCGCCCCTTGAGCTCCCTCTCCTCGGCTCAAATGCCGTGAAAGAAGAGATAGCCGACGCCACTTCTGGGATTTCCCGCCTGCGATCCCCAAAGACCGCCCACGATCAGTAAGCAGATCGCAGCGCACTGTACGCAGGGTGCCCGTTAATGCGCCTTTATACAGAGCCGGAGGTGACGTCTGCCTGTGTCCCCCCAGCAGGGCCAGCACAGTAAAATGGTCGGTTCGAGGAGGAAAGCAGCTCACAGGCGTACCCTCTGGCAGTGTGGAGAGGACATGCGGATCAAATAAATGAAGCGGAAGATAAACCGGAGAGCCGGCCGAACGCCACGCGTCCAGTGTCGAAACGAGAGAAATAAGGAAGGTTGCACCTCGCTCCACTACTCTCGATCAAATAAATTAAGCCGAAGATAAACTGGAGATCCGGCCGAACGCCACGCGTCCAAGTGTCGAAAAGAGAGAAAGAAGGAAGGTTGCACCTCGCTCCACTACTCTCGACATGCACGAGAGACAAAAATCATGGAGGTGTATCGCTCCAAGTTGTAGCGGAAGACTCGCTCTTGTTTTGCGCATTTCGAGAGCACCGTCTTCCCCCGAACACAACGCACCATCATTTTGGCTGTAACTGGCCGGAAATACAGCTTGTATACATTCATTTTTAGGGTGCGTATGTTCGGGGGAAGACTGTAGTGGAAGCGAGACCCTTTGGAATGCCATCTTATAATATTTCCATCCACTTGCAGATCATGCACCTGCCCTTTGTCTCGCTGTACGGAAAATACTGGGATAGTCGGTAGAAGTCGCCCACGCCAAAACCTTTTTTTTTTTTT